TCCTCATCTAACATAAAAATATATATTTTATCTCATCTTAACTTTTAAAATTTAATAAAATTGATATAATTACACAATTCTATCAATTTAGTTGTAATTTTAAATAATCAAAATTAATTTATATATTTTGAACTTTTTAAAATTAAATTTAAATATAATTTTGGCTGAATTTATTAAAAATATAATTTTTTATTATTTAACATAAAAATATATATTTAATCTAATCATAAATTTAAAAAATTAATCAAATTGATATAATTACACATTTGGTCACTTTAAATATTTAATATAATTGACTTTATATTTTATCTCATCTTATGTTTAAAAAATACTAATATAATTTAAAATTTTAATTTTAACATATAATAACATTTTAATTACTATTAATTTTTATACAAATAACAATTGACTTTATAATTCTTGTCAAGTTCGGAGTGTTGTGGAATGATAATGTAAAGGTGGACGTCTAATGCGTTGTGGCCGTTACGGCTCAGGAGTATGATATTCATCCTCCTCATTTATTGGGGGCATATAAGCTGATGTTGTAAATATATGCACACCACTATGCTCTCTCATTCCACCACTTTGCTCTTCCATCCCTCTTGGAAACGTAGGCTGACAAATAATCGCATTTGACATCATATATGTTATTTTCTTAAAGTCATGTGTCGATCCAAACATGGGAGAGTATATGGGTGCATGAGGATGTATCAACTCTGGCATGTATTTCGGAATAGAAGAATCATCAAACGATTGTGTTGTTTCCGCTTCATGTTGTTGAGATGAGCTCCCACTTCCACTCGATATAAATTTATCAGCTGTACCAAAATTTTCTTATATTTCTTAAACTATTGTTTTTCTCCCAACATCATCAGGTACGCTTTTTCATTATCCCAATAATACTGAAGGTAAGCCGAAGTCTCAAAATTAAATTCATCATCTTGCATTGTATCAAGAGGTGACACTAATGAAGCTCTATTGTTCCAAGCATTAATGTAGTCCGCGTGCTTCGCAACCCAATTCACGTTGTGCTTACCCTGTCCATCTTATCTATGCAAGGGGTAATGATCCCATGGAATAGACAGAATAGGTTGGTGGCAGCCGAACTACCTCAACACTCGATCCAAAAAATGTATCTCAACAAAAACAAAATGAATCAATGGTGTAACAACACCCCAATTTTGACAACCCTCCAAAACATTTGCCGGCACACATGCTAAAACTTTTTGCTCTACGTACGACCTCCAATTAAACTATAAAATAAAAATTTATAAAAATTAATTAAACGTGAAATTATAAAATTATAAATAAATAAATATTATTTTATATTTATATTATAAAATTATGCCTCCAACAATTAATTCATTAGGCAAAATTATAAAATTATAAATTAAGAAATAAATATAAATAAATAAATGAAGTTTAATAAATTAAATTAAATTAAATAGTATTATATTATATTATAAAATATATCTTATTTTTGCTATAAATGTTGATTTTCAACCGAAACTTTTTAATATTATTAAACACTAGTCCCGTCCTTTTTATTTTATGCCTCTATCTGTATGTCAAAAAAATATTCATTACTTATTTTTAATCACAATAAATAAATTCTAATTAAGAATTTAAATTAAAATAGAGAAAATAAATATTACCTTCCGACAAGCGGAAAGTCAATCGTTGTTCGACTAGTCGGTGTTAAAAATGAAAGTTTGTGCCAAGCCCAAGATTGTAGCAACATCAGACATCCATTGATTTCTGCTGTATTAATATTATTGACGATTACTGACACCTTGCATATCTCACGATACAAGAACGCCAATATCGTAGATGCCCAACTGTACTGACGAGTATTTTCAAAATTTCTCAAAAACAAGAGATACTGTGTGTGAACCATATTACCAAATGTTTCCGACATCAAAACTCCTCAATCAATTGCAAGATATATGCTCGAGTTGTATATACAATTTCTTATTAGGTATTATTTTCTTGGTGTTTAAATTGATTCTCCAACCATAATAGCCTGAAATGCCACCCTTTTAAATATGGACTTACTGTCGTCTTCCCAAGAAACTCATTGCAAAGTGTTTCCACGTTATTATAATCATTTCTCATCACCACCGACATCCCATTTGTTGGAACCCCGAGTTAGAAGACCATATCTTCTAGGGTTATTGTGCATTCTCCGCACGAAAAATAAAATGTATGTGTTTCTGGCCTCCAACGGTCAATCAATGAACTTATCAAACTCGGGACCAACTTATGCTCTCGAACAAATGTAACATAATAAAATCCAACCTCTTCCAAGGGTGTAGCTTAGCAGGAGTATTGATTTGATGACGGAGGGCTCGTTGCTCGTCTTCTTATAATTATAATATTCATGAAATTAATCAATTAATCATAAAATAAACTTCTACAATTTAATAATATTAATTTATTCCTAAATAATAATATTTTATTAAATAATAATAACACAATCGCTCCAAAATGGCTAAAAATATGTTGAGCGTCAAGATGAATTAGTTGATTTTATTATGCCATTTTAATGAATCTGTAGAAAAAATAATTTTAATAACATTAACAATTAAATATAAACATTATTTTAAACAAAACTATTTTAATCTAAACTAAGTAAGAAATTAAAACATCAACAAAAAAATTAAATTTTTATTTATTTAATTGTTTCTCTTTATTCTTCATTTCTTCCTTATTTTTTTCTTTCTTCTACTTTATTTCTTTCTTCTTCTATTTTTCTTTCTTCTTCTATTTTTCTTTCTTCTTCCCGGTGCCCCCTACCTCCCATACACTTCCCTATATAATAACAACCAAACCAACCCCATTATTACCCAACCAACCCAACTAACATGTGACCCCTATTATTGCTTCTATTATTGCAGCATTATTGTTGCATTTTGTAGTTGTTATTGCTGCCCCATGCAGGCGATAAACTACCATGCAGGGGAAGCGTCACTGCGGTTCGCGTGGGGAGAGGATCGCATGCATGGCAGGGGAGAGACGCATGACTCCCAATGCGTCTTTGGGGGTAGAGGAGAGACGCATGACTCTCGATGCGTATTTAGGGGTTGGGCAAACACACATGGCTTGCCATGCGACTTACATGCATGGAAACGACCAACCATGCGACGTTGAGGGTGAAGGTGAAAGGCAAGCAACGTTGTGTTTCTCCACCAAAAATGCATGGAAGACTATGTGTCTTCGGCTGGGATGCGGGGAAGGCCATGTGACTTCAATTGGAACACAACAGGAGATCACGAACGAGCAGGTGGGCAATCAGGGAGTGGGGCTTGGTCGAAGACGCATCCTCTTCCATGCATCAATGGGTTGGTCGCATAGACCGCCCCGCGTCTCTACCCTTTTTGTTGAAGACGCATTGCCATCGCTGCGTAAAAGGGTTGGTCGCGTGAGCCATTGTGCGACTCCCACATCCACTGTAGCAAATACTCCATTCGAGCAAATAATTTATAGTCTGCATTATCTCAAGAATTTTTTTTCCAATACATTATCTCAAAATTTTTGCCAATGATGTAGGTTATGTTGTTAAACCAACTAATATGTCCAAACTTTTTATTAGTTTAAAATTATTTATACGATTTATTTAATTTAATTTTTTATTTTTAAAAATATAAAAAAATAAATTTTAAGTTAAAATTTATCATTGACATATACATTGAATATAATATAATATCCGTTCAAAAACTTCAAGTCATTTGATAATAAACTTCTTGTCACCTCTTAGCAAAGTAGGTTGATGGGCAAACCCCCTCTCTTCATAATAGTGTGGAGCGTTAGAGGCTGTTTCCCCGGGGCCAACTCGAAGGGGTTGAAGTTTGACGCATAACTTTTTCGTTGTTAAGTTATAGCAGCACTGAGCATCCAACACCTCTAGTCTCTATGGTTTGCACTAAAGTGCCTTAAGTAGCCTTGGGGGAGTCCATTTATTCTCTCTGTCTAAGCTTTCAAAGATATACCGACCGTAGGTGTCTTACCATCAGATATCAACAATCGTCTTCTAACATTACCGACCTTTAAATATCGGGTTTTCTTTAATTTCATATAACAAAAAAAACTCTTTTTATTATTAAAAACAACATTTTTTCCGACATGTTGCATTGTATTACCATAACAAAAAGAATAAAAATGAAAAAAAGAGAAATTACTCTTGTGACTCGGAATGAACCTTTCTCGGTGGAGGAAAGAAATAACGAAAGATTCCCGAGTATCTAACAACAAAAAGAAAAAATCGGACGACGAATTCTTACATGATCTAAGGAAATCAAGGTCTACATAACATTCGAACCTAATATCTTAATCTATCATAACAAAACCCTTAATCACTAAAGTTGTTATATATATATATATATATATATATATATATATATATATATGTATTTGTATATTTAAGTAAATAATAAAAATGAAATGAATTAAAGGAATTGAAATATTTTGTGTAAAATTATAACCAGCCATCACCACCTGTCCTTATCTTGACATTGCTTTGTGGGGCTTTTATCAATTGGTTCTCCTCCGCGTAAACCGTCATGTGGTTCGCCTTAGGCTTACGCCACGTGTCCCATGAATATTAACGAATTTTCTTTATTGTTTTTCTTATTCCATTCAGCCCCCACCACCTGTAATTTCCAGAACCATCAACTTACACAAACTTTTAACGTTTTTCAAAGACTTTGATTCGTTTCCGGACGACTTACCCTATGTTGAACACACATATTTTGTTCCGTCTACTTTTGTAGTATAGTAGTAAACTTGAAGACAAATCCAAAACCAATTTTGTTTCTGTTTCTTCTTCTCTGCTTCCCACCATAAATTCTTGCAGATAAGCTTCCAATTAAAAAATATCAGTTTTTTCCATCACCATACACCTTGCCTTTTATATTTGTTTTTCTGGGTAATTGTGTTTTAGATTGATTTCGTTTTTCCAGAACATTTGTGTAAAGGAGAAACAAAACTCCGGGTATTTAACATTTTTTTTTCTGTTCATCAACTAGAACGATTGTGATACCCGGAGAAACTAAGTTTCAGTATCCTAAAATTTACGAACATTCTTATTTGCACGTTCAAACGAACGTTCACCATTTGAAACCCACGTTTGTATCCAAGGATTTCAATCGTTTAATCTCGTCCGCTTTTAGAATAATGGCGGTGGAGCCTTTAACCTCCGGCGCGAGTGGTCGTATAAACGCGCTCTTCTCTTTGCGTGCTTTGAGAAGTCTCTTGCTAGTTTTAAATGCCGTCGTTTTGATGCTTCTTTTGCCGTTACGGGGAACGATACGCGCCTCCGTGATGGGTTCCGGGGAGAAAGTGGGGAGGGAAGAGAAACAGGAGAGCCGGAGGAAAGGGTCTTCGTCTTCATCGGCTGTGGTGAGGGTTCCGGTTGCGATGTTGCCACGTAGGAGCGCGGCGGTGATTGTGGACCAGGAGGCTGCTGCGAGGCGGTCCCTGGCGATTCAGAGGGTGGTTCAAGACGATGATCACGAAACGGTGAGGGAGTTTTCGCTGTTCACCGGTGCAAGAGGTGACACGTTATTCATTCAGTCTTGGACTTCAGTTTCAGTCGTAGTCAGGTCAGTTCTTTGACCAATTAATAACACTAATTGCTCACTTTTGTTCAAGCTGATGCTAATGCCTAATGGTTTCTTCTCAATTTAATTTAGTTACCTAGAAAATAGCTCGGGAAATGGTCGACTTTATCGGGATTGTACACATAGCCGATATTATTAGGGTGATTGCTGGTAAGGCATTCATGAAATAACGGTATAAGACGACGCTGATAATTCTATATAGCCGCTATTTAAATCCCCAAAAAAAAAAATTAAAATATGCTACTTTTTATCTGCTGCTGGTTAAGCATCTTTGAATCAATGCTTTGAAAAATATTAAAATGCAAAAATTAATTGAAGAGAGACATATATGAAAACTGTGGTCACTTTAGGATGTTGACAGAAACCTGCAGAAATGGCTGAGTTTCCAATGACACTAGTGGTTAAAACCATGGATAAAAAGAAATGTCTTGTTTCAAAGATTGATCTTTTTTTATTTTAATAGTATGAGATAATTATAAAACGGTATATGTTTTAATATTTTTTTAAACACCAATAACACACGTGTGATTATAAGATAATATATATTTTAATATTTCTTAGTCATTGACAAAACACATTGCAACAACTTGCTCAAATCCGAATTCTAGAGAATAACCTTTCATTTTATGGCCTCATTTCTTTTTTTTTTTCCAACTCTTCTCTTTCCATCCTTCCACTTTCCCACTCAACCAAGCCTAGACTTCTGGTTATGGTCCCCTACCTTCTTTTGCCGTTTATTGGTCGAAGATTTTGGCAGTTGTTAAGGAGATAATATTTCCAATACTCTTTGCCATAGTTTGTCACATAATTTGTCTAATGTCTTGCAAGTGCCTTATCATCTTCCGAGGGAGTTATCATTTGGCACATTTTCCTATTGAATTGGACTTATTCAAAAGGAAAAGCTGATAGAACAAAATGCTTTTGTCACCGAGTGTTCCATGTGTAAAATTTATTTTGCTTATGCTTAGTGAGCTAATAGGAATCGATATTCTTGTTAAATGCTTGAATTAGTTAATATGAAGCCAGAACCTTTTGAAGTGTGCTGGAGACAATGTAATAAATTAAAATGAGCAAATGGTAATGTTAGAAGAATTTTCACTATAAATGTAAAAGCAAGAAACAAAACCGAACTTTAATGGACTGAAATAAGAATATTCTTGTAAGAAAAATTTTCGATTCTGTCTTTGCTTGAAGTGAATTCGACTGTATGTATAAATTAGATGTTTACATGGATGGTATATGAAGACATTTATGCCAAGGCGTTAGAGTCTTTGTCGGCCGACTGGATAAGAATTTATGCTTTAGGCCGTGTTTTCCGATATGCTCATAGGAGGATAAGAATTTAAGGCGAGCTGTGAAAATTTTAACTGATTAATATGAAATTAGAATTGTTAGTGTCTCGCTTATCCTTTGAAAACTAAGCAACTAATCGAAGTTTACTTCACATAGACTAATTTATGGGAATTTTCTCTGATGAATGATCTACATAATTCATGTCCATGTGATTATTTGTATGCATTTGAATTAGCAAATAAAGTAAGTGCATTTCTTATATGATTTCTTTATATTTTGCATGCTTGTTTTATATATGTGTTTTCTTCAAACTGGTTGCTTTATTATTCACTTTGATGGTGATGTTATTTGCATGTCTTTTTTCAGGGGAGTAGTTGTTCTTTTGCATGGCCTGAATGAACACAGGTTTGTTTTTTTCAATCTGATGATCTTTTAGAGGTCCTGTTCAATTGATTCTGTGGCCTTTTGTTTCTTTCTCTTACAATGTTTTGATTTTTACAACAGCGGGAGGTATGGCGATTTTGCAAAGCGTCTAAATGCTAACGGATTCAAGGTCTATGGAATGGACTGGATTGGTAAGTTCAAGTTCCATGCAAAATCACACTCTGTTTGGCCCCAAATTCTTTCTCATTGATGTTGCGTGCCATGTATTTTTGACATACATGAGTAGAATGAAAATCAAAGATCATATTGTGCGGTCAACTTGACCCATTTCTGGTAAACCAGTAGCTGTTTCTACATTTTATTTTCAGTAACTCTTACCATTAAGAATGCCTTCCATTCTACATCTCTTGTTGGAGCCCTCAAGGTCCCTCTTACATGTATATGAATTTTTGTGGTGATTTCTTTTGGTCGTAATGGCGAGTGATAATACGATGCTGGCGTCCCAATAGAAATGAAATTTTTGTTCAGTGTATCCTTTCAAGGTAACTGTTAAATATAATTTAGCATTAAGGGAAGAGATCATGTTTAAAAAGGAGTTAGAAACTTGAACTGGAAAAGTAAAGTAAAAAACGAAGGCTGCTTCTACCACTTTTTCGAACATCATGGACACTGGAAAATTAGGGGAAAAAAAGGGAAAGGTGTCATCATTTTTTGATAATTTCAACTATTTTTTGTGTAGTGTTTGAATTGCTAAAATACAGCTGCCTACTTATTTGATTAGTGGAGAAATGTGTTTTCAGCCTCAACATAAAAGAATGCTTTGTCTTCAAAGGGCATTTTAGCCTGCTTATGTTAGTTGAATATACCCTTTAGTTTTCGATGCTCGTGTAAGATCGATTTTAAAATAACTTTCTGCCTTCATTCCTTGAGATAATCCTTCACAGGTTATCTTCTATTTAATGTTGTTCATAGTCTAGAGACACGTTTTCTTCATCGAAGAATCTATATTTGGATGTTGCTGTGGCTTGAGTATTTCCGTTGGGGGAAGCCTATTGGTGCCAAAAAAGTAACATTTGAAGCTCGTCATTATAAGTAAGCTTACTTTTAAGTGTCTATAGTAAGGAGGATCTGAAAAATAAAACTATCTTCCTGTTTAAATGACTTGTAGAAACACGTCGTATTGTTTTGACGATATTCTCCTCATTATAGGCTACTAAGATTTCAGTTTAGATGAATTTTCCACAGTACTTGAAAGTTTCCCTGGTAAAAAAGATGTCAAAATCGAGAAACCTTCTTCGATGAATGTTGCATCTTGCAGTGTGGTAGCTTAAGCGTAAAACAATAGATCTCCGAAACCGCTATGATAAAATCAACCAAGACTAGTTGAAAACATACTTTCTAACTTCATCTACCATCCCCCGAGTTATGGCTCGCAACTTTCTTCTTTTAAATGGAAGTTGTTTGTTGTAAGCTTTTATCTTTGGTGGTTCACTGTTGATGGTCATTTCATTTTGCTTTTGTTTTCATTCTCAAGTTTATTTGCACTTCATATCCTGCAGGACATGGTGGAAGTGATGGGCTACATGGATATGTTCATTGTCTCGATTATGCTGTTACCGATATGGTATGTTTTAACATATATAGACAAAAGTATAATATATGAATTGAGTATTGGATCGAATTAAACCATCTTTGTTTGTCTTCCCACCTTGCTGCAGAAAATGTTCCTTGAAAAGGTTTTAGCCGAAAATCCCGGGGTTCCATGCTTTTGCTTCGGTCATTCAACGGGTGGTGCGATTGTTCTTAAGGTAAGATTTCATAAAGAACAGCAGTTCCCCTGTAAATTTTGAATGAAATATTAATATCGTTTGTTACTTTTCTTTAATGTGTGTGTACATTATTCATGTCTGTTTACGGAAACAGGAAAAGCAAAACAGTTCCGTTTATTTTGTCCCACTAAACTTTCAACTATTTTCCATTTTAGGCGGTACTTGATCCGAAGGTCGAAGCCAAGGTATCAGGCATTATAACGACTTCCCCAGCTGTTGGTGTACAGCCATCTAGTTCGATTTTCGTGGTAAGCATTTCCATTACTCGTATCTTCTTTCCAACTGGTTTACGGGTTTAGGAAGAACATGGTGCAACACAGGCATTAGTTTAAAACGATGATGAAACCGATGAGTAGTTTCACTCATCATCTCCTTGCGTCTTCTACCTATGACAGGTGCTTGCCCCAGTTGTATCATTTCTACTGCCAAGGTATCAGGTCAGTGTCTCGAATAAGAAGGGCTTGCCGGTTTCCAGGGACCCGGAGGCGCTGGTGGCCAAGTATTCGGATCCGCTGGTATACACGGGACCCCTCAGGGTGAGGACTGGGTATGAAATTCTTAGAATTACATCCTACTTGCAGCAGAATATGAACAGATTGAGAGTTCCTTTATTTGTTCTCCACGGCATGGATGATACCGTAACCGATCCTCAAGCTTCGAAGAAACTGTATGAAGAGGCTGCGTCAACCGACAAAACTATCAAATTGTTTGAAGAGCTGTTGCATGATCTTCTATTCGAACCGGAACGAGAAACCATAATGGATGACATAATCCAGTGGCTAAATTGTAGAGTGTAAGAGAAGGTGTCTAAGGAGAGTAAACTGATGAACTCTTCAACTACCATAGATTGACAAAATAGAAATAGGAACTCTTAATGCAGTGAGCAATTCAAGAAATTTCTTCAAGCCAAGTGAAAAAATGACCAAATTGAATTTCCAAATAAAGATTCAGGATTGTCTCCATCTTCATTTTCTTTGATGGTTGCTTGGTGGTCTGTGTTTGTATTGTTTACGGTTTAGTCTCTGTTTGGATTGTATCGTACCGTAGAGAGACCAAGTGTTTATTACAAAGATCAAGTTGATTGTCTGTGACAATTCTTATATTGAGAAAAGAGAGTTACTAGTCTCCTTTAAATAGGTTAAGGGCTAGTTTCGTGGCACTTTTGAAATGTATTTTTAAAAGTATTATATAAAATTGTAATTTTAAAATTTAACTGTTTAGAATTATTGTTAAAAAATGATTTCGAAAAATAATAATTTGGATAAGTTAAAAAATAACAACGGTGTTGAAATTCATTTATGAATGTAGTAATTTGAATTTGAATAAATTAAGACATTACAACGCTATTTAAACTTTTATATTTGAATGTAACAAATTGGATAAGTTAAATATTAAAACATTATTCAAACTTCAATCTTTAAATGTAACTACTTGTATGAGTTAAACAATATAATGCTATTCAAACTTCCATCTTGGACTTGGATAAGTTAAACTTTTTAATTCGTAAACATTAAATTATTTTGTTAAAACATTACAACATTATTCAAACTTTCATCTTTGAATGTATCAAACTTGGATAAACTCTACAACGCCATTCAAACTTCCATCTTTGAATATAATAACTTGGATAAGTTAAACTCTTTGGTTCGTAAACACTTTGTCAAGACATTACAATGCTATTCAAACTTCCATCATTGAATGTAACAACTTGAATATGTTAAACATTACAACTTGGATATGTAAATATTACAACTCAAACATCCATTTTTGAATGTAACAACTTGGATAAGTTAAACATTACAACGTTAATCAGAAATCCATCTTTGAATGTACCAACTTGGATAAGTTAAGCCGTTACAACACTATACAATCTTCCATCTTTGAAAGTAACAACTTGGTTAAGTTAAACTCTACAACACTATTCAAACTTCCATATTTGAATGTAACAACTTGGATAAGTTAAACATTACAACGCTGTTCAAACTTCCATCATTGAACATAACAACTTGGATAAGTTAGACATTGCAACGCTATTCAAACTTCCATTTTTGAATGTAACAACTTGGATAAGATAAATTTTTAGTATGTAAGCATCAAACTATTTTGTTAAGACATTACAACATTATTCAAACTTCCATCTTTGATTGTAAAAATTTGGATAAGTTAAAACTCTACAACGCTATTCAAATTTCCATATTTGAATATAATAAATTGGATAAGTTAAACATTAGAACGTTTTGGATAAGTTAAACATTAGAACGTTATTCAAACTTGCATTTTTGAATGTAACAACTTGGATAAGTTACAACGTTATTCAAACTTCAATCTTTGAATGTAACAACTTGGATAAGTTAAACATTACAACGTTATATAAACTTCCATTTTTGAATGTAACAACTTGGATAAGTTAAGAGATTACAACACTATTTAAACTTTCAATTTTGAATGTAACAACTTTGATAAGTTAAACATTACAACACTATTTAAACTTTCATTTTTGAATGTAACAACTTGGATAAGTTAAACATTTCAACACTTTTTGAACTTCCATCTTTGAATGTAACAAATAAGTTAAACTCTTTATTTTGTAAACATCAAAATGTTTTGTTAAGACATTACAATGCTATTCAAACTTCCATCTTTCAATGTAACAACTTGGATAAGTTGAATGCTATAATATTATTCAAACTTCCATTTTTAAATATAAAAACTTTGATAAATTAAACATTACAATGTTATTCAAATTCTAATCTTTGAATATTATAACTTGGATAGGTGAAACATTACAACGTTATTCAAACTTCAATATTTGAATGTAAAAACTTGGATAAGTTCAACATTACAACGTTATTGAAACTCCATATTTGAATGTAACAACCTGAGTATGTTAAACTCTTTAATTCGTAAACATTAAACTATTGTGTTAAGATATTAGAATGTTATTCAAACTTCCATATTTGAATGTATCATCTTGGACAAGTTAATACATTACAACACAATTTAAACTTCCATCTTTGAACGTAATAACTTAGATAAGTTAAACTCTTTAGTTCATAAACATTAAAGCTTTTTGTTAAGACATTATAATCCTATTCAAACTTAAATCTTTAAAAGTAACAACTTGGATAAGTTAAGACATTACAACACTATTAGAACTTCCATATTTGAGAGTAACAACTTGGATAAGTTAAGATATTTCAGCGCTATTCAAACATCTATAATTGAACGTAACAACTTGGATAAGTTCAACTCTACGACTCTACTCAAACCTCTATCTTTGAATGTAACAACTTCGATATGTTAAACCCTACAACACTATTCAAACTTTCATCTTTGAATGTAACAAATTGGATAAGATAAACATTAAAACATCATTCAAATTTCAATCTTTGATTGTAACAACTTGGATAAGTTAAGACAATACAACACTATTTAAACTTTAATCTTTGAATGTAACAATTTTGATAAGTTAAGGCATTACAACGCTATTTGAACTTCCATTTTGAATGTAACAACTTTGATAAGTTAAAACATTACAACACTATTTAAACATACATTTTTGAACATAACAAAATGGATAAGTCAAACATTACAATGTTATTCAAACTTTCATCTTTGAATGTAACAACTTGGATAAGTTAAACATCAAAATGTTTTGTTAAGACATTACAATGCTATTCAAACTTCCATCTTTGAATGTAACAACTTGGATAAGTTAAGACATTATAACTCTATTTAAACTTCCATTTTCAAATGTTACAACTTGGATAAGCTAGACATTACAACGTTATTCAAACTTTTATTTTTGAATGTAACAACTTGGATAAGTTAAACATTACAACGTTATTCAAACTTCCATATTCAAATGTAACAACTTGAATAAGTTAAGACATTACAACACTATTTAAAAATTCATATTTGAATGTAACAACTTGGAAAAGTTAAATATTACAACATTATTCAACCTTTCATCTTTGAAAGTAACAACTTGGATAAGTTAAACTCTACAATGCTATTCAAACTTTCATATTTGAATGTAACAACTTGGATAAGTTAAACTCTACAACACCATACAAACTCCCATCTCTCAATGTAACAACTTGGATAAGTTAAGACATTACAACAGTATTCAAACTTCCATCCTTAAATGCAACAACTTGGATAAGTTAAACATTACATCACTATTCAAAGTTTCATATTTGAACGTAAAAAAAATGGATAAGTTAAACTCTTTAGTTCGTAAACATCAAACTGTTTTGTTAAGACATTACAATGTTATTCAAACTTCCATCTTTGAATGTAACAACTTGGAGAAGTTAAGACATTACAACACTGATCAAACTTCCATGTTTTAATGTAACAACTTGGATAAGTTAAACATTACAACGTTATTCAAACTTCCATCTTTGAATGTAATAACTTAAATAAGTTAAACTCTACAAAACTATTCAAACTTCATCTTTGAATGTAACAACTTAGATAAGTTAAACTCTACGCTATTCAAACTTCTATATTTGAATGTAATAGCTTGGATAAGTTAAGACATTAAAACGATATTCAAACTTCCATATTTGATTATAACAACTTGGATAAGTTAGACATTATAACACTATTTAAACTTTCATATTTGAATTTAACGACTTGGAGAAGTTAAGACATTACAACGCTATTTAAAGTTCAATCTTTAAATGTAACTTGGATAAGTTAAACTCTACAACTCCATTCAAATTTCCATATTTGAATGTAACAACTTGGATAAGTTAAACTAAAACACTATTAAAACTTTCATATTTGAATTTATTAACTTGGATAAATTAAGACATTACAATGCTATTCAAACTTCAATCTTTGAATGTAATAACTTGGATAAGTTAAAAATTATGACGTTATTCAAACTTCCCTCTTTAAATGTATCAAATTGGATAAGTTAAACTCTAAAAAGCTATTCAAACTTCAATATTTGAATGTAACAACCTAGAAAAGTTAAACTCTACATTGCTATTCAAACTTCCATCTTTGAGTGTAACAACGTTGATAAGTTAAGACATTACAAAGCTATTCAAACTTCCATCTTTAAATATAACAACTTGGATAAGTTAAAACATTACAACACTATACAAACTTCCATCTTTGAATGTAACAACTTGGATAAATTAAACTCTTTAGTTCGTAAAAATCAAAGTGTTTTGTTGAGACATTATTAAGCTATTCAAATGTCCATCTTTTAATGTAATAACTTGGATAACTTAAGCATTACAACCCCATTCAAACTTCCATATTTTAGTGTAACAACTTGGATAAGTTAAACATTACAACTCTATTCAAACTTCCATCTTTAAATGTATGAACTTGGATAAATTAAAGATTACAACATTATTCAAACTTCCATCTTTGAATGTAACAACTTGGATAAGTTAAAATTTGTATTTCTTAAACATCAAAGTGTTTTGTTAAGACGTTACAACGCTACTCAAATTTCTATCTTATCCACTTGGACAAGTTAAGACATTATAACGCTATTCAAACTTCCATATTTGAAAGCAACAACTTGAATAAGTTAAACTCTACAATACTATTCAAACTTCCATCTTTGAATGTAACAACTGGGATAAGTGAAATATTACAACATTATTCAAACTTTCATATTTGAATGTAACAACTTCGATAAGTTAAACTCTACAATTCTATTCAAACTTTCATATTTGAATGTAACAACTTGAATAAGTTAAACTCTACAACGCTATTCAAACTTCCATCTTTGAAGGTAACAAATTGATAAGTTAAACATTACAACGCTATTCAAACTTTCATCTCTGAATGTATCAACTTGGATATGTTAAGACATTACAATGCGATTCAAACTTCCATTTTTTAAAGTAATAAATTGGTTAAGTTAAACATTAAAACATTA